GTACAAAATCCACTAGGAAATAAATCTTAGGTTAATCGTACCCACCCACCCCAAGGACAGCCGAATCTTGAAGTTCCAACTTGTCGGCTCCCATATTACCCATCACAGATAATAGTAGATGCACAAAAAAGAATATGATAATAACCCGACTGACACAGAAGTTTGCTTCTCTATAAAACACAACCTGCCCTTCGGTTTGCTTCAATATAAGACCAAAATACTTCCTTTAGACGCAATAGTCCATCATGTGTCAAAATTTCAATCCAAAGACATAGCAGAGCTAAAGTAGGAGGTTTTCAGCAAGCCCCAAAGTAACAGGAGAACAGCATATGGCATGTGAAATACTACCCATTTAACCTCGTCCAAAAAGTTTAACTAAAAGATTATATCATAACAGATGCACTGTTCACATTTTGAATACATTTACATTTACCTGGATCCAGGATCATGCCAATTTTCATGGTATTAACCAAATGCAAACTCCAAATTTTGAATAACAACTAACAGAGAACTACTATACTAAACCTCGAATAGCAGTATAAATCCTAACAATAGGCTAAACTTTTCGTACCTGGGTCTGGTAATTCCATATGCAAACGGTCCCTGAATACAAACTTGCCAAAATCCTATGACACAAGAAAAAAAAAGGAATGAGAGTAGAAGAAAAGGATATCATCTCAACCAATATGCTAGAGCAGCAGATTACAATCTACACGTATCCAATCCATTGCAGAAATTTTGAAATGAGCAAAGAAAAACAAATTTGAGAAATTGAACTTTGACAAGGTTGATTGTTACCATGGCTCTGTAGGATGTAGATCCACGGATTTTACTCTTTCTGATCTTTGAGCAAGCTTCCTCTGATCCAGCAATTGACAAAATTAAACAAATCAATAAAACTTCAAACAATATCCAAACACCGCCCGAATAAACCAGCCAACAACAATTATCAGCTCTCCAACAAACAATTCCCCTTCGCGCAGCTACGCAAATGGGTAAACAGTATAAAAAACAGAGAATTCAACAATACCTTGATTTCCAGTCTGAGAGGCTGATGCGCCACCATTCAAACAGAAAGGAAAAAAAAAATACCGTATTAGTAAATGCCGTAATAACAGATCTCAAATCGTAAACGAATTACAAATCCAGCAGCCTACTCATCAACGGAAATCACCAAATTCGAATTACAATAATGAATTATCCAGATCTAAGTGGAAAACAGCTTACCATTGTCACTGATTGAAATTGGAAACCGTACGAGGAGATTCGTAAACCCTAGAGATCCGATTGAGATCCAATTTGAAGTGTTAGTGAAGTGAAGAGAGAGAGAGAGAGAGAGAGAGAGAGAGAGATCAAGAGAGAGAAAGAGGGAAAATGGGGAAATTTTTTTGGGGGAAGAATGAATAAAAAGAGGTATTGCACAGGTAACAGCGCCACCCCTCTCCGTTTATTTGTGTAACGACGAGATGGGAATTTGTTTTGAGTAGTGCTGCTACTTATGTAAGATGTCGAATTTCATCGATTTGGATTTGTTGATGATGCCTTTGGAACTAAGGAATTAATTTTCAACAAGTTTTGACGCCTTCTTCGTTGCTATGTCATTTGATGTGTTTCTAACCGTCGATCAAGGGAATGTGCTATTTTCGACGGTGGAGATTGAGTCTCAAGGATTTTAAATTGGACTGGTTTATGCTTGAATCACCACCCCAATAGAGGTTGAGCACATGATTGACTTTTCTCCATTTTTTCCTTCTTTTTTTTTTTTTTTGTCAAATGTCAACTTGTAACTTTTCTCCAATTTTTTCTGATCTGAAAAATACCGAAGAAAGTACAAGTGTATTTGGACAGTAAATTATTTGAAATAATTTTATGAAAAAATATCGTAACATTTTTTTTATATAATATATATGAGATAAAAAAATAATTAAAAAATATATTGATACAAATAAGCGACTGTAAATTTGTTTGGACAGCTGATTATTTTCCCAAATATATTTACTTACATCATCATTAATCCAAACACGTACAATTGGATAGCAGGGCCAAGGACCCTAGAAGCTTGAACCACGCTTTTTGCATGAATTGTTTTTGCACAATTTAATCTTCAATATTTTGCCTTTTCCGAGTTTTATTTCGAAGGCGATTTACACAAATAGACAAGCTAAATAAAAGAGTTCATGCGTGATTTTTGTACTTCTGATACTACTACATAGGTAATTATTGAAGTGGCAAGAACTACAACGAATTGTATGAGATATTTATAGTAGCTTTTTGTCCTTTTTTTTTTAAAATTTAATGAATGGTAATGAAGATTCCCAACTAAATATTTCCTAATAAACAAATGGTGCTTGAAAACATGCACCGGATCCATTGAGCTTTTATTTGAATGTGGAAGACATGTCAGAGTTTTAAAGAACAATAATAATATTTGTTGATTTTTTTTAAATTATAAGTAAATTCCTTCTCTGCGACATGTTTTAATGGTTTGTTCCAATGAAACTATCTTGTTATAAACACGGTTAATTTGCTGTACAACTAAGCATTACAATTTTACAACTATTTATTTAGGTAGGACGAACATAATTGTAGTCAAAACAGAGTTATTTTTTTCCCATTTTCTTCAAGAATAATATAAATTTATTAACAAATCCAAGAAAAAAAACGTGTTATTACTTATTTTATTAAAAAAAAAATATTGGTGAGTTCATCTCCTGGCACCATGATAGGGTAAGACATTTCCTAAAATCACGAGTTGTTTATAGAGATTTCTACAACTCGCCCGTCAATACAATTTTCACTCCATTAGTTTTTTCTTCTAAAAAAAACAAAGGGGAATAACGTTATTGCTCCAATACTCTACTTGGCATGGCCTGGCAGCTGGACTGAATCTGAATTGAACTCCAGCCCTGGATCCTCTCTGTATTATTGTTTAGTTGCAAAAGTCGGCCCACAATTTCACCCCTTGTTAGATGAGGTTTGGAAATGAATTAGTGTTGATTCTGATGACCCTGAAGCTGGATTTGTGCAGTTAAAAGTTAAAATTAAGCCAGAAGTGACATAACCCAGATCACCCTCCAGCGTTTAACCGGTTTGGGCTACCTTGATTTATTTATGATGAGCATCATTTAGTGGAATCAAATTTTTTATTTTTATTTTTTTTTTGAAGAGCTTGTTCGTAGTGCACCCGATGGGCATGAATGAAGTAGGCCCAATGTAATGGGCCAAGATCATTGCTCATTCCCTCCAAGCTGTTGAATCTCCTTATAAAAACCCTGTCCAACAATGTGGTCCAGAACCAAGAATCAAGTCCAGACAAAGGGCGTTTGCTTGACACTTTCGATGAACTTCGAGACAAAGTGGAAACAAGGTTGCTTGACAATTGTCGTACAATCTCTACGAAATCCTTAATTTGTGGCATTTGTCCAACAATATCTACGAAATCATTAATTCGTAGTTACATGTATTAATCTTTCCACAAATCGGTAAGTCATGCACATTAGTTTTTTGCTTATAGTTATAGCTTTATTTTGTTACAAAAAAAAATATATATATTAACAAGCAGACTTGTGAAAGTTTTAAAAGTGATAGCGCGTCATTGTAAATATTGACGCGTAGTCGAGTTGCGGGGAGAAACTTGCAAATTATTGGAAGCATCATACCCTAATAATGACGGGATAAAATCCACCTTGACTGAAAAATTATTGGAACTAGTGATAAGTGCACACTCGATGCGTGTGTAATCTAGAATAATCACTTTTTATGTGGAAGAATTTAGCACAAAATTTTCAAATCAAAAAATCAAACTTCGTCTTGTAAAATTTTTTTGAATAGAATTTTAATTAATTTGGTGGTTACAATGTTTGTAAGTGGTCACGAGTGAATTAGTTGTAGCCATATCGGTCGGTCGGTCGGTAGCATAGGTAATGCGTATAATTAAGTGATTGTAAGAGCAGTTATAAAACATTTCCCGTAATCCGGTTGAGTGCATTAATGTCTTGATGCGGCAGATCTTGAGGAATATCCTCGGAATCAGATAGTTAAGAAAGCATAAAGGAAGAGCAGATATCACAAAAGAGAAGATTAAAGAATCATATGTCTGCAATATATCAGCTTACCAACTGATCATTAAACAAACCGACACCAGGATTGAACTTTGCACTTTCTTCCTGATAAACAAAAGAAATTTGCGACTTTCCAATCTTCCCACTAAAACTAAAAGTCCTGATTCAACGGCACAAACGGAGCCAACCCACCACTCCTAAAAAGCGACCATTACAGTCGACGACCTCAATCTTGCTCTTCCGTTGAATTTGCTCCTCCCGGAAAAGGAATACCAATATCACCTTCCATGTGGTACCATTTCGATTTTGATGGTAAAACTAGTATAGGATAATGATGGTGTATTAGTTTTTGTGACGTGATATATGTGTTATAAAAAAAATATATATATATATTCAAAGTGACAGCTTAATAATCAGTCAAGTAGCTACATGATAACTTGTTTGAAGCTACATGCATGGCACCCTCTTTTAAAACTTTTATGCAGCACTAACACATGAATAGAATGGTATATTCCAAGAATAAACCTGTCCACTGACTAACTGCAAACCCCACATGACTAGCTTAGTCTTTGAGCCACCTAATTAATCGAGTTCATTAGTAACCTAGCTTGGTCGAAACTTGAAAGTAATAAGCATTTATACCTTGTTTGGAAAATGGCCTTATTTTTCGTGAACACATTTCTCTATCACCTTTTTACCTCACATACATCAAATTTTGCTGTAGTAATTTTTGTTTCCCTGTCATTTTTACCTCACATTTCCCTATCCTTGTTTCTGGTCTGCCCTCCTCATTCTACGCTTATCCCATAGAATGATAAAATCAGAAAAGATGAAGTAAATCAGAAATGGCGATTCAGTTTATATAATTTTTTTTTTATTGCATCTACTAGTATACTAATATAATTCGCTATACACGCAGTTCGAAGGGTAACACGAGTTCATCATCAACTCTTGCGTCGTTGCACTATTAATTTGTCGAGTCAGCAGAAAGAAACTCATATTTCTGCTAGACTAATTTCTCTGCGCAGGCAGTTTTTAACACTCTACTAACCTTCGAACTTCGTCCAAAGGCGTTGAAACAACAAGTGGAAATACAAGGAGGTTCTTCTACTCTAGAGGGAAGGGGGAAGCTGCGCCTCTGAGTTGCCTGAATTCTGTAATTTTCCTTTAATTTTCCAGCACAATTCTGTCCATATATTCCATGTGCAAGCAACTGTTGTTGTAGCTTCCCTTCAAGCATAAACATCAAATCCCTTCACCACCCACACCCTCTCTCTCTCTCTCTCTCTCTCTCTCTCTCAACAAAAAAAACCAAAAAAAAAAAAAAGAAAAAGAAACAAGCAAACCCATCCAAGTAAAGGGAAGAACAAAAGGAGAATATTCCTCCATCAATTATGTTGAGAAGTGGTGTCTCATACAAATCCTGCATTTTAATCTGGTCCATTCTTTGTGGGTACTAAATTACGATGATAAATATTTTGCAGAGTTCTGCTTCTACTGGCAGGAGTCAGAGCATCCACTATTCGCCGCATATATGAGATATCGCATATGTCGTCCTCCTCCTATGTGTTCTTGGACTTTCTAAGCAACCGAACGAAAAGAAAAAGGAAGCAAGACGGAACATGAAGAAGTGAACTGTTGTAGACAAGTGACGACTCGCCATTGATTCATCTTGAGAGAGAGAGAGAGAGAGCAGGAGAATCATCGACATTGCCCCGTCAAATTGACTTTTGACTGTCATTTGAAAGATCGATTCTCCACTCGCACTGCAAAATGGAAAAGATTGGTCTTTGGACGACAATGGCAAACAATCTTTATTATTTATTACCAAAGGACGATCATATCTGCTCGTTGTCTCAAGCCAATTACTTCATATATCGTTGTCCGTAGATCGGTCAACTTAATTAACTCTGCATTTTATTTTTGCAGGTCTATGTTTTGACAGATTTTTCAATGTTGATGCTCGTTTTCGAGCCTCCTCGTCTTTGTCCTTTATTATTATTTTTTTTTTGTCGATATGATAATAACAAATCACATTTAACTGTGACAAATTGATGAACCCTTGTCTCCCACCTGGGGTTGCAAACGAGCCAAGTCGAGTCGAGTTTTGAGCTAATCGAGCCGAGTCTCGATTAAATTTTATCAAACTCGAGCTCAACGAGCTGGCAATTTTCGAGCTTGAGCTCGACTCGAATCAAGTCGAGGCGAGCTCGAGCTCGAGCTCGAAAAAATTAAAAAAAAATTATTTTATTTTTTTAAAAAATAAATAAAATAATATTTTTTATGAATAAATAATAAAATATTAAGGATATATACGTAATTTCACTATGAAAATAAAAAAATAAAAAAATATATATAATATACGTAATTTTATTATTAAATAAAAATAAAAAAAAAATATATATATATATATATATATTTACTCAAACTCACGAGCTAACGAGTTTAATATTCTGAGCTTGAGTTTGACTCGAGCTGGCTCGAGCTCGACTCGAGCCGCTCGCGAGCGGCTCGATTCGTTTGCAGCCCTACTCCCACCCCACCAAGTCTTAATATATTGGTGGTGGCCACCGACCTTTGATTCTTTTTTATCCTTTATTCAATGTTGACATATTTGCTTTTAGAGTAAATGTCACCGGTTGTCACTAAATTATTTAGGATTCTGTTTTTTGGCTATTAATTCTTCCTATTTACTCAAAATCGTCATTCAACTAATTAGAACTTATATTTTGTCATAAAAAATATTTATTTCATAGTTGAGTGTCTAAAAATTAAAATTTTTATTAATTGGGTGACAAAATATATAAATAATTTTTTTATCGAGTAAATGACTATTTTGGTTATACAAAAAGGTTCGTTAATCAAATTAGGAAATTTTAGACAGTTTAGTGGCTAACTTTGCGATTGTCTCTTTATTCTATTGACGACAACGGACACAAACACGGTACGGCAAAAGCAAAAGTTAGGAAAGGGAGTGAATTGGAACGAGTGGTTTACGAGGCTGGTACTTTATTACTTTCCACACTTGAGGAAGGCAAAAAAAACAAAAACAAAAACAAAAACAAGGCACTCGAGAAATGAGAATCTTATAGGTGATGAGAAAAAGAAAAAAAAAAAAAAAGTCTATTACTTTTGAGCGGTATCGATTGCTTTGTTCATTTTGACAAGCTGGGAGGCAAAATTCCCTCAATTGGAAGGTTAAAAGGCCTCACAATTACACCATGCTGTCTGTAGATATGCAACAACGTAACTACTGGGATCGCAATGATAACAAAATGAAATTTAGATCTAGTTTTACGTATGCCTAATAACCGGGAATAAGAATGACGTAAATTCAAATTTTATACCTAACAGTTGAAAATAGGAATGACGTGAGAAAGAGAGGGAGACATAACTCACCCAAAAAGTGCTTACCAGAGTTTAATTACACTAGTAATTAGGAACACATTTTAGCAGCTCTATGCATACACTAGTAATTAGCTTTTCAAGGAAAGCATTTGACATATTCTCTTGACACAATTTTTAAAATTATATCCTTATCTCATATACATTAAAACCTTCAAATTTTCCAGGTGAAACGAGCCCGTAGCTGGAATGGCATACCAAGCTATGTCTATCTGAGTCAAAGCCAAAGGACACTTAGAACCCTTATTTGGATAGCAGTTTTTTTGAGGAATTTTTTTAAATATTTTCTGTGAATATATTTTTCAATTAATTTTCTATCTCGCATATATCAAATTAGTACAATATATTTGTTACAAAAATTTCAAAAAATAGCAATCCAAATGCCCCCTAATATTTTTCCTACGCAATTTAATTGATTAATGACTAAAATTGTCATAAAGGGATAACAGTGAATTGGTTCCACTTAGAGCATCTCCAACGGTGTTGTAATGTTTGACATTGTAATGGGCTATTACACGAGCATCCCATTGTAGCCGTGTAATACCCATTGATGCGTGTAATGGGCGGCCCCCATTACAAAATTTAAGAGCCGGACAAAATTGGGATGCCGCAACTTCGATCAGCTTCATTTTTTTGCAACGGTAAATTTCCAATGTTAATTTTTCCAACGTTAATTCTTCGCATTTGATGTATCAAATATTTGTTTAATTTCCTGCATAATTATTTTTCAAAAAATAACAATATATTATTTTTGAGAGATAGAAAAAGATATATTGTTCAAACTTAAAAATTAATAATATCATTTTTAGAAAATAAAAAAATTCAAAAGGTAAAAAATTTAATTAAAGTTAATACTTTATTTTTTAAAAATAACAAAATTATTTTTAAAAATTACTTTATTTATTTATGAAATATGAGTTATGCATTATTAAAATAAATATTTGATTTAATTGTGGATTCATGCTATTACACCTTGTAGAGTTTAATCCATTGTAAGTGAAAGTGTAATAAAAGAGAAGAAAGTGAAATACTGACATGATACGTGAATTACACTCTAAAGAGTGTAAATCACTGTGAATGCCCTTAGCAAGATATAAATACCCTAAACAGTAAATAGGGTGACTCGTCTATAGCGGCAAATAACAAATAAACCAACAATAGGTTGGTGGTTATTTTAACAACGTGCCTCTTACCTCTTTTTGGTCCTACCATGATTTCATGCTGTCGCTTCAAGTTCGTACTTCGTATTCTTTACGCTCATAATTACCATATCAGGACTTGCATTCCGGTGTTTACTACAGGATTTGCAGTGCATTTCCTAATTTATCAACCAGTTGCTGTGAGGAAAACTGTAGGCAGCCGAATTGAGGTTACCAAGATTGATGACGATTTAATGGGTCAACTTGTAATACTACTTCTATTCTCGTCCTTTAATCGCGAACAGAAAAACTACTCCTCCGTCCCATTTTAATAGTCCCAAATTGTAGTTCACTTTCCAATTGAAAAATGTAATTGTATTTTAATTTTTCTAAAATACCCTTATTCAATGTAAGTTGTTGTTACTATAAACCTACTCCATTTAATGAGAGTTAATTCTTTTTTTACCATCAATTCAAGTTCTCATAAAGTTATACTTTAATTAATGTGAGAGTATTTTAGGAAAATAGCTACATAAATTGATTGTTCTAATAAAGTTAACTACTTTTTTATAAACTGTGTGAAAAGAAAACCAGAACTATCAAAGTGGAACGGAGGGAGTAGTAATTAAGGGGCCGAGTAGGTCATTGAAAAAAGTTATAGTATTTTTAAATTTTATTTTGAATACTTTGGACTTCTCGTACCTCTTCAACGGGGAAATGTTATTGGTATTTATTAAAAGTCTCAAGTACTCCATTCTTTTCTTACCTTTACAATAAATAAAACTTGTGTAGGTAGTTAACTTGGCGTTTGTTTTGTTTGCTTTTAAATTTACCCTTATCTATATTATTTATTAACTCTTATCTCTATTATCCATTTATATAATCCATTAATCTATCAATCCTTATCTCTATTATCAATTGACACATAAATCTTACTCAATCAAAACTACCTCTCCCCAATTCTCCTCTGTTATCAATAGACATACAAATCCTGTTCAATTAAAATTACCTTTCTCCAATTCTCACGTTCTTCCTCACCAAGGGTTTTTTTTTTACTTTCAACTGTACATATTTTTATATAATACACTTTTTATCACATATTATATAAAAATAATATTATTCACTTGCATTATTTTTGAGATTCTTTCAATTACAAATAGTTTTTGACAAGTTGTACACGCATCGAGCGTGCTTCGATGGCTAGCGCTTATAAAAGGAGGATTGATTGCTAATATAATTTTCCCTTTATCCAGCACCACATCCAAACCCACCCCCCCCCCCCCCCCTTCCCAAAAAAAAAAAGCACCGTAAAATGTAATTTAAGACGAGAGCCAAGACTTTAACCCCCGAGAGGAGCAAGAAGGTAAAAAGCCAAAAAGGACGCAAGCTCATGCAAATTTGTGTCCCATTTCAGTTCACCTTAGCCACTATAAAAAGGCAGGGATGGCACCGAAACGAATACCAACAACAACTGCTTTCTTGCAGAAAACCCAACCCCTCTTTTCCCGTAACTTCAAAGTTCAAACCAAACCACCCAGCCCGCGTCTATCCTTTCAACATTCTGGTCATTGGGCGGTTATTCCGTCTAACTATCTGGGAAATTGATGGGTATAAACTCTAACAGAGTTGAACACTGTTCAGACCACCATGCATGCCATGATGAACATGAAACCGCTGTAACAATTTCATCCACAGATGTAAATGTAATGCCTTCCCTGGAAGTCCACAGAGTTTGCTTACCACCCCACAAAACCACTCTTGAGAAACTTATGCATAAGCTTTCTGAGGCATTTTTCCCTGATGATCCACTTCATAAGTTCAAGAACCAAACTTGGTTTAACAAGTTGGTTTTGGGGCTTCAATTCTTCTTCCCCATTTTCCAGTGGGCTCCTAATTACAACTTCAGGCTTTTGAGGTCTGATTTCATCTCTGGACTCACTATTGCAAGCCTGGCAATCCCACAGGTATAGAACAAACATTATGAACTATTCAGTTTTTTCAATCTAATTACATGCAGACAGACAAATAGATAAAGTAATTTGTACTAATTGTTGGATGTGTGAAGTTTACAGTTATGGATATTAGGTTTCTTGTTTAAAGTTTTTGGTTCGACTTCCACCAATGCGTAAATTCCAGTCTAAGATGTTTATTTAGTAAGATTTTCTTACTTGCACTACATTTGCTCAGAAGATCCATTAAGAATGACTTTCATGTTTTTTTTTTGTAAGTCATTATGTTTTATTTATCCTCCTCTGCAGTCATTATCCTTTTCTTTTCTTTTCTTTTTTTTTTTGGGGTAAGAGCAGAACAAATGAGGCTATACAACAACTAAGCTTTAGTTGTCTTACTTTGCAGGGAATTAGTTATGCCAAGCTTGCCAATTTGCCTCCAATAATAGGCCTTTGTAAGTCTCAACGCTATTCCTCATTCTACA